GGCTAAGTCTTGCCTCCTGATTCTTGTATCCATCTCTTCCATTTGTCTTTCCTCTCAAAATCATCTTACTCTCTTTCTACTAATAGAACTATTAGATGTCGCAAGAGTTTTTAATGAGTATATCTATATGAAAAAAATGTTCTAAATGGATTTGTGCTTAACTTTTCATTTCTTAGATGTACAAAAAACAATATATTTCTATAATTTTTTTTTTGAATTATGAATAATAATATTTAAATTAAAATATAATCAAATATGGATGATTTTGTATGATTTTTTGTTTCGGTTAGTATTTAAATTTTACCAACTATATCATTTTTCAAATAGATCTATGATTTTGGATTCAATATTAAATTTAATTTTGTTGATCAAACATGATATTTTACTATTAAATCATTTATAACGATGTTGATTATTGATCACTTATTTATGATGAATTTTTTTTTATTATTTAAAATTTAAATTCATTTTTTGTTTTAAATTGTATATCTCCTATGTACATGTATATTTTTTGAAGAATCTGATATTGTGATTTGGTGATTTGGTAATTTGGTAATGTTGCATTGTATGTTTTCAGTCATTCTTTTACCATCATCAACTTCACTCCATTATACTATATGGCAAATCCAACGTACCATTGTAAACATAATTTCATATACCGTCTGTGTGAAATTTTGTATTGCGTCTCAAAACTAATGATTGAGAGATAATAAAAGCTATCTTGGGATTGTTTGTGCTTATACATATGTTAATATTACTTTGCTCTTCGTATGTTTAGTGATTTTATATATTTCAAAACTTATCTGCTTGTATACATAATATTGTTTTATTGAATAAAATATAAACAGCCGATAATATACCCTAATATCCTAATAACTTGGTAGGTTGATTTTGATGATTTCTTTGATCTCAAACTCAATATTCATCGCCAAGACTTTAACGCTTTTTAACGTTTTTCCTTCAATGTATGTTCTTTATTTGGGAGGATTTTTCCACCCGCATTTATCCTTACACCACCAATTCACTATGAAAAAACTCACTTTTTTTAACACTCATGAGTTTCAGTAATCTCTGTAAATCAGTGAAATAGACATGATTAATTTTTTAGTTTTAGTTTGCATCATTGTCATATCCGTCTTCTTCTAAATATGTTATGCCTCATCTTCACCCAAATCTCTATAGTAGCACTATATAAATGTACCTTATGCATTTGTTTATAATATAGTTTGCCTCTAACGTCTCTGAATTTCTTCTCCTTGTAAATAACTCTAACGAAATATGCAATTGTTGCATCGAATTAAACCATGTACCAGACTTCTTACTTGAGGCACAATGTATCAAAATAATACCATATTAATTGGCAAAAAATATGAGGATCCTAACGCTTCTTTTCACACTTCCATGGTTTGAATATGTTCCATGTGATCTCCTCAAACGAACTCGTAAACTCTTCGATCAATTAATATGGTATCATAATCTCATCTGCATCAAAACCATTTACGAAATATGATCATTTAGTTTTTTATCCTCCATTCATCGAGACACTCTTCTACAATATGAAAAATCTCTTCCATTTCCTCTTTTACTTCATAACACCATGCTCACTACGCTTTTTTCCCAAATCGCATATCGAGAAGACACAATTATACAAAACTTGTGTTTCTTAAAAATAGTGTATTCTCTCATCCGATGTTTTGTGTCATCATAGTATTCCTCTATTCCCATATATTTCAAAATGAAAACTGAAGCAATAGTGGAAGAATCACACATGTATCAATTGTTTTATGGAAATATGTCACTGAAATCTTTTAGTTTCTGTTCTGCTAAATTGTTAATAATGGGCAGGTAGTTGAAAAATCCAGGAAAACATTCAGCAATCNGGAGCTTGAATGCGAGGTATAGGTTGTCCAGGGGATAGGTTGTCCTCCGGAAATTTCTTTTAATTTATTGATCACTCTTTCTGCGAAAAAGATCGATAATATTGAGATAACAAAACAAAAGAATATCATCAAGTTATCAATTATAATACAATGTATACTATAATATATATGTGAGTCTAACCATAAGAATGAAACATAAAAGTTTATGTACATGCTTAGCCAAAAAAACATATATAATACAAATTGATATGGTAATACTACGACAAAGCTCAAACTGTGTATACACATATGTTATGTTAATCAAACATAAACAAAAATCTAGGAGTTAATCAAAGTTTTTATATGTTGCTTTTTCACAAAAAAAAGTCAAACGATCCGCGACCCGTGACGAACCAACCTGTGCGGGCTGAAAAAAAATTTAAGACTGTCATGGATTGGGCTACTTGGACGCGGGTTGGCCCGTATAACAGTATCATCCAAAATTCGTTTTATTTAGTTAATGTTTAGGCGTGTAATTCTACGTTCAAGATCAGGCATGTGAATGTAGAAAGGAGGCTGCAAACACAAGAAGAAACTGATCATGTCAAAATAGGAAAGAGCAATGCGTAAAAGAGAGGAGAGATTTTGAGGGAAAAAGAAAAGAGCACCTGTGGGAATATGAAATCATGGTTAGCATCGCGGATGGATGGCACCAGAACCACTCGTACTTCTGAACCCATGAATTCCACATAATCTTGGAACTGAGAAACTCAAAAAACATAGAGATCTTTGTTTATTCCAAAGTCAGTCAGTGTTTCGATATATCTAGTGTCGTAATTTTAGTACCTTCTTGAGGACTTCCACTTGGAATATCTCATTAAAGGTGGCATCAACAGCACCTTTCTTAATCTCTGGATGCTCAGAATCCACAAAAGGTCCAAGCTGATTTAAGAAAAAACCGGTAAGTGAACCGCGAGACACAAACGACACATTTATTCTACAGAAGGTCTGAATAAATTCTAGCTACTCACCAGGACGAGTAACTGTGGTGGCTTTCTTCTTGCATAGGCTAGTAGCTCGTTCAGTGGCTCAAACAGCAAGTTGTCTGTTGTTGTGAATGGCCCGGATGCAATTATCTGTCAAAATAAAGACCTTTAAGCATCAGCTGATGCTACCTGATTCTAAAAAAACCACCCTTGTGATTGAAAATGACAACTTAATATCTATGCATGAAAACAGAACAGAGCATACATAGATACAAANTTTTCACCTATCACCAAATTAAATGGGAACACANCATACTAATTTTGAAGTCAGTAGCTAAAGGCAATATCGAAGACAATAACTAAAGGAGCTCCAGTCCTTGGAGTTGCAACTCTAGCTAACCAAAACAGCTTTGCGGCCTCTAAAATTCTCAACATTCTGCATTTCCCTCATCTCAGCAGTTTGATCAATGTGATATATAATATGCCTAGGGTATGTAGGGAAAAAATGTGCCAGAATAAAAAGAACAATGGCTTCCTTGAGAACAAACAAAACATCACTAATACAGCTTCCTTGAGATGAAGGATTGCATACTTACAAATGAAACCTCTGATCTTTCGTGAGATTCTCCTTCAGGAGTTAAGACCTCCTGATCCAAGTGTTGTTTCTTAGCAGGAGGTAGATCCACATCAGCAGTATGTGTTAAAGGAACTGAATCTACCAGCTTGGATGCGGTGAGATAATGTCCACTAGGATTTTGTCCCTCAATACCAACTATCTGCATCAAATTTAGACCACCTCCACATGAATATTACGAGTCTTCAGGGGGGAAAAAAACACAAAACCTAAAGTTGTTAGCTTAAAGCTATCACCTGGCCTGGAAAAATTGAGAACTGATTTAGTCTGTTCAAGTCCAGTGGAACACGCTGTCCTGAAGTACGCTCAGCACTGCAATTATAGACTTTGTTGGCATTAGGATAGAGAAACTCTAGATATTCGGAACTGAGGTGCTTCATGTTTGAAAGACAGTTCATATAATTAAACATGGACTAACCATGAGATACATGTTCATAAAGAAAGATAGACGGAGGCCTATAAAAGAAGCAAAAAAATAGTATTCTTTTAGCATTTGGCATTTAAATTATGTATTGAAAAGAAAAATAAAAATTTTGTGTTAATAACTTGACAATTAATTCCAACAAT